AGAGGATTCGGATTCGCTGCCGCAACAGTGGAGTGCAGAATGACACCCTCGACTTTAACGTGGCACTCGAAGAGCGCCTCTCCCTCCCGAAACACCTCCGATGTACGAACCCAACGGGGCAGCACTTGTGGGCACCGCCCTGCACCCGCGGCGAACTTCGCACTATTGTGAAAGGGAACGAGGGAAGCTTGTTTTTGTTTTGTTGACATGAATTAATCAATCGCTCAATTTTGCACGCTCATTCCTTTCCCATCATTTTTTCCTTGTTTGACAATTTTGCATATGTGGAGGCTCGCAATTGAGGTAATGGCCGCTTTTATTCTGGAAGATGCACGTTTTTGCCGACCGCTGTAACTCTTCGATCGAAAGCATTTCACGGGAGACGCGCCACAGACGACGTCTTTTTTTTCTTTTCACAACGTGGTGATGATGTACGGCACTTGGCGCGTTTATTCTCAGCCAGCCTGTGCCGGTAACGTGGTTAAACATTTTGCCGAGCCTGCCGCCTCTTTAATACGTCCTCATGTGTCCATTCATTTACAAAGAATATCAAACATATATACATTTGACTTATTTAGATTATAATTTTAAACACACTAAAAATACAATGATAATAACAATGACGTATAACACCATACTGCCAGCAGGCAATTACTGGAATACCAATGTGAATTCACTTCGTATGCTCCAGTATATGGGCATGAGCAGAACCGGCACACACACACACACACGTACGGATACCTCAACATTTCGTGCAGTCGCTGTGAAACCTCTGCAAAGAGTAAATGCCGAAATGTCAGAGCGAGTAAAGAGAGTGGCGTCACCGGTGTATGCGACGCGGTCCAAGCGTGCGTTTGTGGCCACGCCAGCTCGGACAAAGTCGAACCGCCGAGACAGAGACACGCCCACTCTCTACCCGTCGCAACAAATCAATATCACGTTTTGGCACGGGGGGGGGGGGGGGGCAGATGTTCAGAACGCTAGGTTAGGTGGTTTAAACAGAAAAAAAAACTGGCAGGGAAATTTAGAACATTCAAAAGCTTCTGTTCCCCCATAAGCTGATGATTTTTGTACGTATCAGAGTCCACACTCTGATCACGTGCAGATTCACCTGAAACGGGGTAATGAGATGAGGTTTAAAAATACCCACGATGTCCCTCCGAGCGCGGGTTGGGGGGCTCCAGTGAGTGCGATGTGAAATTCAACAGCATGCCAAACTTATTATTTTTTAAGCAAATTCCACCGAAATATTTTGGTCAGAGGTTTATGCTACATTTCCATGAACGCTGGGAGCTGGGTTGTACTGGTCCAGGAATGGGCCATTTGCATTCCACGAGCAGCAGCAGCACGACAAAGGTCCGTGTTACCCATACGTCATGAGCGACACGGCTCCGTCGGCTCAACGCATCCTGCTCCGATCCCCATTAGGTTAGCCCGCTGTATGCCAAAGTGTCATTTTTTGCCTTTAACTACCTCCACATCAACACGGCCTTGTAGTCGAATTGAGCGATGGTTCAAAAATAAAATTAACTTCACTGTCGGATGTTGAAAATAAATAACGCAACGTTCTGGCCATGTGACAAATGTGAATATTATTTGGCTGCTATACATTTCCGCATAAGCCACTTCATTGGGCTTCTGGAAAATAACAAATAGCTCAGTGGGCTTTACTTGGCAAAATAAAAATTTGTTTATTCATCGTGATTTGCTTACCTTTCTTATACTTTGCACTCCTATCGTTTTATTGTAGTGTGCATTGTTGTAACTTTCTAACTCGCCCCGACTGGACGCCTGTGAACAAGAGCTTCACAGCTTCATCGGATTTCCTCAAGGATAAAGAAAGATTCCGATTGCAAAGTTTCGATGCCCAAAATCAAGGTGGATCTGCAAGTGAACGATACTCCCGCATACACCTTTCTGGCAGTGACAAGCCCCATAGAGGTTTACGCTGCGAAATGCATTTCCATCGGCTCCCCTTGCACGCGACGACATACGCACCGCGCATCCCCCTTCGTGAAGCACATCACCGCCTTTTCCGTAGACACGATTTGATTAATGAGCTTTTTTTTAAAAAAAAAATATGTGTATTAAAAAAAATTAAACAAACAATTGTATACGTACATTATCATTATTTTTTTTTGTACGGCCAAGACCGGAAATGAGGGGGTCATGTCTGAGACGAGGGAAGACGAGACGTGAACGCGCGCACAATATCTGAAAAGGCCATCAACGCCAAGTCGAAAAACACAAACGCACAAAGGGAAGATGAACAACCCCGGCCCGCACATTCAACGGCACATGTTCCAGATGAGAAGTTTTCGCGACCGCGAGCGTTCCGCCGTCATGACGACGGGCGCCTGTGTTGCGCCTGGAACGTCGTGATTTTAACAAATTTTCATGCCTCCGTGACTTTACCTAAAGAACCAAAGCGCATAGCACATTTTCCACTTCCAAAGAAAGCACCAGCTGCTTCGGTTTTTTTTGCTTTGCCGCCACACATACACACACACACGCATTAAGAGCTGCAATTATAGGTTGTGATTCATACATAATTTGACCAAAATAAATTAAGTAACCTTGCATGATGGAGCTTGTGTGGTTGAGAATATTTTACACTGACAGTGGACCCAAAGACACGCGGCATTTACAGTGACCGCCGGCGATACAACGCCCGTTTCTCGAAATGCATCGCAAGAAACGTCGCTGGCCAGTTTCTCTTTAATCGTAGCATTATCCCGGTAACTAATGAGACTACACCAGGAGTAGGAGCTCTGTTAAATACTCACAGTGGCAGCTTATTACTCGCCAATGCCATCCATCAGTTGTCAACAACACAATTTGCAATCGTTATTAGTAATCAGCTAATTTGCTTGTTCCAACTCTGATTGGTAGATACACCCATACACACGTTTGTTTAGACCTTAGCACAATGTGGTGGCAACCCTGCTGCAATAACAAAGGCAAGGATGAACGATTGGACACGACTGGTTAGAGCAGTGGTTACTTAACCTGGGGGTGCGAGATGCCCGTTCTGGGAGTGCGAGACATGGCCAGGTAAATCATCGAAAACGCAAATTAAGAACGGGCACGTAAGTACAACTGCTTTGCTTCATCAAAACTATGTACAGTAAAACCTTGGATTGCGAGCATAATTCGTTCCGGAAACGTGTTTGTAATCCAAAGCACTCGTATATCAAAGCACTCGTATATCAGTTGTGATCACGTGACGCTCGGCAGTACAAAGCGTATATACGTACTACTACTCGTATTGCAAGAACCTCGCTCGTTTATCAAATTAATATTCATTTAAATTTTTTGCTCGGCTTGCAAAACACTCGCAGGCCAAGTTACTCGCAATCCAAGGTTTTACTGTACTTTGTTTCATCAAAACTATGTTTAAAGATGATACATTTTAAACGATTGAGAAACTAGGCGGTGCAATGCCAGAGTAAAGGTTAAGAACCACTGGCTTTGAGCAAAACTGACACTCTCCGTGGGACAGAGCAACGGTTGAATTACACGCAGGAACTTCATTCTAAAATTGGGATAAAGGGAAATTGTTGTGCCGACATCAGACACCTTTTTTAAAACAGATTTCAGATTTAACCAATAATAAAACACCAATAAATGTGGTTATGGAGAGCCTTTCGCGACATCTTACACAAACGGAGGAAGGTCAAACAAATGTCAAGAGTGCAACACTGCGCACAGAGCTACGCGCAATACAACTTCATTTGTATCGGTACAGTAGTTACCTTTGCACAAATGCACTTATGCTATACAGTAATTACAGGTCAAGGCTTCAAAATAAGCCCAACATTGCATTGGTGCATCAACTTTAGTTGCAGTATCGCGTTCTCATCACACTTTGACCTTGCCCTCGTGTGCACAGTGGTGGAATACCAGCTAGCGAAGGGGGGGGGGGGGAGATCACAGCAGTTGGCTTGAGGTCCGCCTCGTCCGATTTATACCGCGCGCACCTTACGCACCTGGATAATCACGCACCCACCTGAGCAGTAAACATTACAGACATGTGCAAGCGATCTTGCTGCAATCAGCACTTCGGAGACGGGGGGGCAGGGAGGGGGGGAGGGGGGTTGGTGGATCACGCACAGATCACCACGAGTCTGCAAGACTCCCAATCCTCCTGGCTGGGCTGCGAGGTGGCCAGGAGATTGCAGTACAGCAAGTAGGTTGCTGACATGCCTGTGCAGGCCTTTTGAGTATTATTCCCTTGCAAGTCTGAGCGTTCTTCCGGCACTCCGATTTCCCCTAGAAAGCAACACTTAAATAACCAACTGGCCGGATATCCTCATGCACGACCCTCCAAATAAAAAAAGGCTTGGTGAACTTTTTCCGCGTAAATAGGATACTATTATTGCAAGGGGGTGTTAAATCCAGATTTATAACAATGATGTTCTATTGCACATTAATTTAATTACTAAATCAACCAAAACAACTATCCTAAACATGTTTTGTTTACGTTTCTTTTAAAAGGAAGTTCATATCGGGACGCAGCGGTGGAAGGACTTACCGAAAGCCAATGTCAGTTTAAAGATTATGTCAATATCAAGGTTTCGTGCTGTAAATTATTCCCATCAAAGAAAGCCTTGCTGATTGCATCGGCAGAGAAAGCACAAAACGAAACGCTAACCAGGATCTGGATGCAGAAAATGTAATAAAAACGGGCAAACAATTAAGACAATAAACGCTGTGAAGAAGACACTTGAACGCTCAGAGGACACCCACCGTCGCAATTCCGAGTTGGTAAATCTGACCTCCGGCCAAAAGAGCTTTCTTTTTTACACTTTTTTTGTTTGTTAAATTTTTCAATCTTTTTGTATATACAGAGACGCAAACAGAGTCAAGTACCTGCCAGGGTCTCGGAGTAAGAGGGCACCACCACCCCAACCCCACGTCGCCCCCCCCACCCACCCTTCCCGCCCCCTCCCAGAAAACAAATTAACCCATCGTGGTGTTGTTGTTGTTGTTGTTGCTGCTGCTGCTGCTGCTGGAGATGAGCGGGGTTATAAAAGTTATCCGAGTCGAAGTGGACAGCTTGCTTGTGCCGCCTGTGCGCGACCCGGCGTTGAACCCGGAGGGGCGGCGGCGGAGGGGAGGGAGACCGCAGCAAGCGCGAACGCCGTCAGTGCCAAAGAGCACGTGCGTGGACACAGCGGGTTTGTGTTGATGTTGTTAGGCATCCTGTCATCTCGAGAGTGTCAACGGCTGACGGATAGCCGCAATCTCCCACACCCCGACTCCCCAAATCCTCATTCCCTCGACTGGTAAAAGAGGATGTATCCCGATTCTGAGTTTTTCGACACGTCCGTTGTGAGCCCATAAAACTCTTCGATGGCCTGCGGGTCGATTTTCTGCAGGTGCGCGTTCCACGCCGCGTGGGGGACAAGGGAGCACACAAACAGGCAAGCAAAATGAGTTTAAACCAAGTGTTGAGATTATCATCCAAGTTCGGATTTACAGTCTCAAGAGTGCCCCCCCCCCCCACCCCCCTCTGCGTGCGCTAAAAGAAGCCACACTGTTATTGTTACGCGAGCCAAAGGTCCAGTAGTTATTCCGTGTCAAGCACGGGGAAATGTCCACCCGTCTCATCCTTTGCGACGACGCATCGCGAGTTTGCACAATAAACTATAAATCCTCTCGGGTAAGTGCTAGGGGTACTCGACAAACAGCTTGCCAACAACCAATGCCCACTGCTGTACTCTTTTAATTGTTGGCAAAATTTGGCAAAAAACTATTTCAAATCTGCCGTTTTATATATTTTTCAACTACAAGTTTGCATGCCGCCATGTGGCTGTAGATTGTGAACCAGCGTGCACATCCATTTTCACACGCGCGTTTTATTCTACCGTATATTTATTTCCACAGTCGAATCCCCTAAGACTACGGAGGTTCCTTCAAGTGGGCCGTCTTTGCGAGAGTGTTAAAAATTAAATCAGCATACATTATTTTTATCAATCAAATTCAAGGACAGTGCATAGTATTATCAGAGTTGTCTTTTTGTTTGCATTTTGACTGCTTGTGTTGTGGTTATTGCAGACATGATGCCTTGAATAAAGGTGTCAGTTTTTGTGCCAGTTAAAAGGGTAAAACCTATTACTATATCTTGTTACTGGCAAAGGAGGTCTCATAATGTAAATGCTCACCCCGAGCCCTCAATACTCTGATAGTGTGCTGTTTTTGAGTTGTACGCCTTTTGGCGTCTTCTGGTCCAACACCAGTGGAGACTAGGCTCTAAAGAAAGCCGTCTCGGGTGTGGACCAATCAAATTCAAGGACAGTGCATATTATTATCAGAGTTGTCTTTTTGTTTGCATTTTGACTGCATGTGTTGTGGTTATTGCAGACATGATGCCTTGAATAAAGGTGTCAGTTAAAAGGGTAAAGCCTATTACTATATCTTGTTACTGGCAAAGGAGGTCTCATAATGTAAAGGGTCAATTTTTGTTTGGGGGGCCAACTCAATCCATTAACCCTCTGGGGGGGGGTCGATAAAATGAACACTGCTTTGTGGGAAATCAACAATTGTTGTCCTAATGACAGGGTGGGGGGAACATTTTTCCTACCGAGGGCCGGGCAGGGCTTGCAAATGGTTTTGTTGGGCACGCGCATTAACCACACCTGAGCACTGCCCACCGTGAAATCATTAGGGCTGTCACCTTTGCCGCACTAATGTGCTTTGCAAGCATCCCATTTGTGCGAATTGGAAGGCCATCGGGAGCGGCAAAAGTGACGGGGCGAACTGAAATAGAAACGGCGTTTCCCGGGTCGAAAATAATACCCTCTCTAAGTCGCAACCAATTAGTCCGGCCATGATGCTTGGAGCGATGGATAAATATTGTCTTCGGGCTGTTTCGGTAACAGGCCACATGCCGTGCGCCATAGGCTCTCCACCCCTTTGGCCCACGGAGAGAATATCCCCCCACCAATAGGAATGTGGAATTTGCACCAACGGCTCGCGGTTGCCAATGGCGACGAGCGCTGCCACCGTTAAAGATGTGGGGGGTGCAGGGGGGAAATTGCTAACTGATTTTTATTCTTTGAAATGGAAACCTAGGATACGTACAGAGGAAATACAACAGGAAGGAAGAAAATAAAACTGTTCAGTATGCGAGGAAGAGAATGTCCGTGCCAATGAAATGCGCGGGGCTTGGCAGAGCCACTGCCAATGAAAAGGAAATTCCATCCGATGTGTGCAACCAAAATTATTGCAAGGTTTGTATTGAAAACCAAAAAAGATGAGATGGTAAATGGGGATGCTTTATAACTTAAAGTGTGTTCTGTTGGAGAGTAAAAAAATAGCAAAGAAAATCATATATTTTATGTTTCGATTCAAAGCTTTCGTGACTGCAAGGATTCATCTTCTTTGGTTCTTTCGGTAAAGTCACGTAGAATGAGAATAAAATAATAAATTGATAAAATAAAATAACACAATAATATTCTCACGACGTTTCGGCCACAACACAAGCGGCCTTCATCAGGTGAAGGGACGTGACTTTACCGAAAGAACCAAAGAAGATATTTAATGTTGCTATTTATAATGGTAAAAAAAATTTTCGCAAAAAAATCAAGTAAACATCACTATTATAAACTAATAGTCATCACTAATAGAGCGAAAGGACTTACCTCTACTATATCATCGTCAAACAGCAACCAGAAGCCATGGCTCTTCACTATTGTGATGTAATGGCCCCGATTGGGGCCGCTACAAATACAACATCCAAAGAGATCAAATATGCAATTACATCTGCGTTTCCTTCCTCATAAATAAATAACAAGCCGACACAATTGGCGAAATACGTGCACCCTTTTCAAGCAATGCGTTTCCTTTGCACTCACCCATCCAGCAGTTAATACCCGAAACACATCCCCCTATTTGGCCGTACGTACTTGGGGCAGAAAAAGTTGTCAGGACCAAATAAGGCTGACAAGGTACACAGTGATGCTGGGGGCAGGCTCCGCCACACTGCGAGTATCTGTGTCCCTCCAATTGTAGATTTTCACAGTCTCAATAAGATACTCAAAGGCGGCTAAGTTGACGTAGGCCACGGTATAAGCAAGAATTTGATTTCAATTGTCACCGACCGCCGTGCATGGCCACCAATCGTAGACAAGTATCCGTGACTGCAGCACAGTAATTACGACGCCACTTGTGCTCAAACACAGCATTCCCGAGTTAATCGCTAGGGGCGCGTTGCAGAGATGCTCGTGAATATAAAATTTCGTGGATGATATTGGCCTAAGGAGTGACTTTACCTCATCACCAACTCTCATCACTTTATTTCTCTCTCTCTGCAGCCCTGTAGAGTTCTAGATGCGCTTCGTGGATAGCCAAAATCGCGGATAGCAAGTTCGTGAATAACGAGGGGAAATTGTATACATTTAAATGGCACCGATTGAAATATTGACAAAGTGGTCTGAACACATTGCTTTGGGTATTTGGCCCATTGTGGCAAAAAAATATTTGCACATTTTTACCAACAATCAGATTTAATTAATGTTCAATAACCCGTGACAACACACAAGTGAAACATTACTGCACAACCTGCAAATATTCAAATTATGGAATTTAAAACAGCCATTATTATAGCATTAGCCCTTCCGAGTGATCCACCTATTTCGTACAGAACCAGCTGAATAATAAGGTTACTTAAATTCATGAGCATTTTGCATGTGGGAGGAAGCTGGAGCACCAAGAGAGAGCCAATGCATATCATCAGGGCGATAATGCTCAAAAGCACTTCAAGAATCCACTGCCGAGATCTCCTGGCCAGCTCCCAGCCATAGCCCACGATACCTGGGAGTCTCCCAACCAATCAGGCTCCACCCGCAGCGCTTGAGGTGCAGGGCCAAGCTTTCGAAATCTGATTAGGTGAGGCACTTTCAGGGTATTACGACAGAAAAATGCAGGCGTCGCATTTCACTCAATGGCATTCTCTCGTCCTTCCCCCGCACCTCCGATTAGCACGGTTGGCTGTACGGTGCGAAAGAAGTTCAACTTGCTTCTAGATTTGCATACATTATTGCATTGCCAACTGCGCATTCTAGGTCAATATATTCCAGAAGCGTTTGCTTAAACAAGTCAACCAATGGACCGGTTTTAACTTCACCGGGTCTCATCAGCAGGGCAGACTCCTGGGTGTCCCCCATTGTTAAATGGGTTCGGGCCGGTGCGGCCACTCATCAACACTCCGCGCTTTTGTCTCCGGTGCTGCCTGGCCACAGCTCTCACCTGCCACAGTGGACGACCACCGCTACCAGGTCGTACATGCGGTCGGGGTTGGTGGCATCGCCGGACGTGTTGAATAGCCTCAGCTCGAGCGGAAACACCACGCGGTACGAGAGCTTCGTGTACCGGTGCAGCTGCTCCATGTACTTGAAGCGCTTGAGGTGCAGGGCCAAGATCATGGGCAGCTTCTTCACACGCATCCTGCCGTCGCAAACGCCGCGGTCGAAAGTCAACGCGCATTCCAGTGTCTTCAGTGTTCTCCGTGCACTCTCCTCTGCCTACCTCTCATCTCACAGCAGTCCCCTCCCCAAACTCTTCTAGCCCTCTCATATCGCTGGACTCCCAGTCACGCGCTCTGCGTTCCAGCAACCAAAGCTTTCGAAGTCCCCAGTCATCCCCATTGCTCATTGGTCCCCCATTCTTTACTATTGTCCCATAACCGAGAACGCCTTTACCCAGCCATCAATGCTGTCAACTCTCCGCCCCGATTCAAGTCCAGGCTCAGCTCAAGACCTATGGCTGACCGCCTCTCTCTATAAAATATACATGCCCACTGTTTCTGTTCAGCGTCTTGACGTTATAAAATACAAATTGGATCGTACAATTGTATTATATGACCAAGTGAATGACACCCATTTCCCTCTGCCAACCCCGATCCAGGGGTGAGACGTCAACATTACAGTGGCTGGGGCTTGGCCTACACACAAGACAATTGCTGGGGAAGATTACACATTAGATATCCCATCTGGTGCAGCCTCGCCAGGTGGTACTCACTTTAGAGACTATGGGATGGGTGATGATGATGATAATGAGTACGAGTCAACCCTGGTCAGGATTTGAACTCGTGGTCTTGCGATTAAGATTTCTGCTGCTCGACCAAATGAGATACAGCCCAGATACGATGCTACAGAACACAAAAGACTGCAGGACTTGATGCTTGCGGATACCTATGGCAGCCGTTAGCTTGTATGAAAGGTGAACGAACAATGGCAAAATGTATCCAAACAGAGGACATTACAAGTCATGATGGTCAAAGTGTCACCAATTTAATAAGAATGAGGCAATATTCACCTCCTGGCAACAATGAGCCATTGGTGGCAATTCCACATTGCCTTGCAGGGTGCCAGTTAATGAACTGGAAAACCAGGACCAACTTAAAAATGAGTTCTGCACAACACAATATAGTTACCCATGTATTATCTGATGCAGTAGGGTCCCATTATTAGGGATGGTTCAGACACGTGGTTTCGAAGGTATAATTTGCTGATTTTTTTCAAGCAGTCAAGTGTTTGATTACAAAATGTGCCCATTGTATATGATGAGGGATGCAAAAAATGTTGGAGAAGGAAACAAGTGTGTGAAATCAATCAAGAATCATTTGCAACTCGTGACCAATTCAATGAGGCAAGCAGAAAAGACGCTTGCGAAGCCATCAGCAGTTGCCTGAATACAAAAATTATTAAAACGACCTTATGCATTCACTCTTGTTACAGGGAGGATTCTGCGAGTATTATTTCGCGAGCTGCGAGAAAAGCCTTAGTCAATGAATGTTCATTATTCATGATCAAATTATATTTTATTATTACGAGGATGAAGCCCCTGGCTGATGGAATGTGCTGTAACATAGTTCATACAAAGCCAACCTCTGTAACCCATTAAACAAAACTGATATTTAGTATTCTAGAGTATCACAACATCAATAAAAAGCCACATTTTCTTGCTGTCGTCTTTTTTTTACACACAACACACATGTTTACAGGGATAATAATAATGTAAAATTTTCTCATCCAGAATATACTGAATATTGAGCCTCTTCAGGAGGGTCTTGCATCGATAATTTTGGATTGGCCACTTCCTGTTGAGTGTTCATGAATGTGGGAGGAAAGAAGAGTACCCGGAAAAACCCCACACGTGCCAGGGTATAAGCACTCAAAGGTCAACAGATATAGGGGAGATACGAATCTCCTGCGCCACCTCAGATCCTTGCGAGTGTGGGTGGGGGAGGAGTCTCACAAATCCACGTGATCCCACAAACCCTCGCCTGCTTCGCATTGAACTACAGGCATGTGGGCACCACGACTCATCTAAGCCTGCGTGCTACGCTTACAAGTGCGTTTAGTTTGTTGTACTTCCCCCCCGCACCTCCGATTAGCACGTAAGAAGTTCAACATCATGCGTACGATAACGTTACGCGTTAACAATTAACATTAAATCAATCAAGCACTCCACCGAAGGGTCAAGCGGGAAGGCAGAAAGGACGACGTTCGTCGGCGCCGATTAAACACTGACCACACGCAAACCAGGCCTGTTCAAACACTGACCAGCGGAACCATTTCATTTCATTTCAACTGCACAGCCGCTTGTGGGCGAAGGCAAAGCAAGCGAAACGCAACACCCGACAAGGTCCAAACGCGAGGAGGGGCGTGTGGGTGTCAGGTTGGGGCGCCTCACCTTTTCTGCGCTTCTTGCTTACTGCAGCATTGTTCGCAGTAGTATTTATATTCGCTGCAGAGTGTCTCGGTGTTACTGAAGCCTCTGGGGCGGGGGAAATAATAAATAAACAATCCGTCAGCGAAAGCGTTCCGTCGTGCACTTTGAATAAACAGGGAATGCATTTCCCCGATCAAAGGGAGTACTGTACCAGAAAAAAAAAATAACCGGTCAAATCTGCTTGTCCAGAAAGTAGCATTTTTCTGACATTAGGCAAACTGAGTGGATGAAAAAGGTGAATTATTAAGTAGGTCATTGTGAGGAAAATTGTAGATAGATGATACTAAAATAAAGTGGATTTTTAAATGTACCAATGATGCTGGCATGGATTATTTCAATTATATTTGTGGGTCATCGAGTTTGTTTTTTTATCAAAGCGGCTTAATTTTCTATGAAAATAATGTTTGCTTTACTATGACTATAGGAGCACAACCACACCATCACTACCACCACCATCATCATAACCCCCCCCCCCATCCTCAGCAACACAAACCAGTACTCTCGTCATCCTCAAACTCTCCGTCATCACCACTATGATCAAATTACACATCTGACAAAACTGCAGCGTCACGATAGTACCATCTTAGATGGGGAAGACTCGGGTCTCGTGTCAGAGAAGGTCATAATTGACTTTGCAGTTTGATGGCATCACCATAAGGATGCAATGGAAAAAGTTTCCAGCCAAGATCAGTGAAAACATCCATCTCATCAGCAATAACTTCAACTTATTAATATTGCTGGGATACAAAAACGAGCAATCGTCTGAAATATATATATAGGCCAGTAAGCACCGTGGGAAATTCCCAATATACTTTTGCTAGCTCAACATGGAGTGTGTATTCATTTGCAGTGCCAGACCAATGCCACCAGCTTAAAGTCTTCATATCTCAGAGATTTTAAATGGAAAGGTGGTAAAGCAAAGTGGGCAAGTTACCTTAGACAGTGTGTGATGGATGTGTTTTGTTCAACATCTACTGACAGATCCAGAAAGTCTTCATCTTTACTGCTCACCTGTAAAGCAAACACAGGGTGGCCTAGACATGTAAAATCACTCGCGTTCCCGCAATCCAGCACTTAAAGGATGGCTCAATCCAATAACCAACTGGGCACAACGTTTTCAGAGTTGTAAAAACAATATCATTCCATGATAAACGCAGTATGTTAACCAGCTAATGCAGCTATGAAACTCAAGTTTCATTTTCTAAAATTCAGATTTTCTGGAAACAGGTCAGTGCGCCACCATTATTACACTTACAATTAGTATTTTCATAGTGTCTAAACATGCCTGCATTCCAAGACGCTGTACAGAAACAGTGAGCATAGTTTTTAGAGCAACAGGCAGCCCAGTCATAAGCAGAGGAAATAAATTAAATATTACGAGCTATTTACAATTAATGCAAATTAAAGAGAAACCGTACGGTAATGTTAATAACAAAAAAATCTCAAACCATAATTACATATATTTTTTACAATTTATCAAATTAACAGGTGTGTGAATTGTTCCATGCCTACTGTGCATTCACTAGCGAACGCCTCTGTATTCCACGCAGCTCCTTCCCGCAACGTGAACCTTTCCCAGCCTCCAGCGTGAGCGAGCGCGCACCCCTGTGCACACGCGCACCCCTGCGCACCCCTGCACACCCACGCACCGTCTCGCAGTTGAGGCAGCGCGTCTCGTTGGTGAGCGTGCCCTGGAAGATGTCGTGCACCCACGTGGGCTCCGTCTTGGTGCTGTCGTCACCGTCGGCGGCGGCGGCGGCGGCGGCGACGCCGTTCTTGAGCTTGCCGTTCTGCCGCTCCTGCTTCTTCTCCTCCTGCAGGATGTCGGCGATGGTGTTGAGAAGGTAGTTGAGGAACTCGTGAGCATCCTGTTGCATGTAGTTGTCGAAGAGTTCTGTTTGCAGCCCCGGGGGTGGGAGAGCGATCGCGGGAAGACGCACATGCACACGATTAACGGGGCTATGAAGCAGAGGTAGAGGCTCAAGGGTTCAGAGCGCTGAGCTGGCACCGCTGAGATACTGGGGGTTCGAATCTAGGGTTGAGCCACCTGTTATTCAAACCGCGTTCCTCCGATTAGCACGGTTGGCTACGTACGGGTGCGCAAGAGGCTCAACACACATGCATACGTTTTGATTTAAAGCTTTCGTGACTGCAGTAATTCATATTCTTAGCTCTTTCGGTAAAGTCACGTTGAAGGGAAACAAATATATAATAAAGTATATATAAATATATAATAAAATATGTAAATATATATAATAAAATATGATAAAATATATAGATATATTTTATTATTTTATTGTTTCCCTTCAACGTGACTTTACCAAAAGAGCTAAGAATACACATACATACGTTCCTGTCTCTTCAGTTTAATTTAGAATTCGTTGCATTGTAGGCACTTCTTGACATGCACGATAGATGCGTTCCTGGAAAAAAGCGTGCATATCTCAAAATCACGTATGTCAAAAACTATTTTCCCATAAGAAATAATGGTAAAGGAGGAGGAGGGGGGGGGGGGGTTAGGGGTTAGGGGATTTCACTCGCAGACAAAATTGACTATATTATCCTAGCCTATATCAATAAAATACATGTACACGAGACACACGAGGCAAAGGGAAGAGTGCTGGAGTACACGCAACGAGATGCCTTGCACTACAGCTCACACTAGTTATCGTGCCGCACTGGTCGCTGGCAACGCCACTGGGGTTGCGGTGTCGGACCAGCGTGTTCGTACGTCGCGTTGCGGACGACGTCGTTCCGAAAACTGCCGCCTCGCCTGTGTGTCAATAAAAGGTCGAAAAACAAAGGGCGCCGTTATTCCACAATGGTTTACCGCAAAAAGGGGCGTAAACTGAGGATTGCCTGGAAGAGGAGTTGATGGTTTCAGCCCCGGTCACCAATGATTGTACGGAAAACTCGCCACATCAAATGTGGTTATAGACTTAATATGGCTCTGAGATATAAAAAAACACCGTTTTTTAAATATTACTCTCCCGCTCATGGTTCACCGATGAGCCTTTACGAGGACAAGACTCAAAAACTTGATTTGACGCTTTCTTGACTGCAGGAATTATTCTTTGGTTCTTTCGGTGAAGTCACGTAGAAATAGAAAATAATAAATTACATGATATCATGCGACGTTTCGATTGCAAAGCAAGCAATCATCATCAGGTACAAATGAAAGAGAACGATTGCTTGCTTTGCAATCGAAACGTCGCATGATATTACGCAATTTATTATTTTCTATTTCTACGTGACTTTACCGAAAGAACCAAAGAATAATTCCTGCAGTCACGAAAGCTTCAAATCAAGTTTGAACCACCTCTACGGGGAGTATGTAAGTTTGTTGTCTCTCTCTGTCTCGTTGTTGTCTCTCTCTGCTTGTGTGTCTGTCTTTGTGTCTCCGTGTCTGTGCCTTGTCTCTCCCAAATTTCTCTGTGTCTCGTTGCTGTCTCTCTCTGCTTGTGTGTCTGTCTTTGTGTCTCCATGTCTGTGCCTTGTCTCTCTCCCAAATTTCTCTGTGTCTCGTTGTTGTCTCTCTCTGCTTGTGTGTCTGTCTTTGTGTCTCCATGTCTGTGCCTTGTCTCTCTCCCAAATTTCTCTGTGTCTCGTTGTTGTCTCTCTCTGCTTGTGTGTCTGTCTTTGTGTCTCCATGTCTGTGCCTTGTCTCTCTCCCAAATTTCACACTTAACTTCTAATTGAGCAATCTTTGGAGTGGCGTAATCGACCAGGCCATGTGTTGATTGTGTGTTGACCGACTCTGTGTCGCATTACATTACATTTACAAATTTTACTAAGTTAGTTTGATTTAGTGTTGCCTCCGTCTCTGTCTCCCCTCAGCGTTGGCGATGGATCTCTCATTGTGGAATCTCCCATTGACATGCTAATTCTTCTAACCCCCCCTCTCTCTCTGTACCCCCTCTCTAGCTATTTAAGGCCTCGACACAGAGACGTTGTTTCTCTGTGTGCCCGTGCGTGTGTCTCTCTCTCTGTGTCTCTGTGTTAACTCTTTCCGCTTGTGTGTCTGTGTATGTGTCTTCGGTTCTGTGTCTCTTGGACGTAATCAACCAGGTAGGGTGTTGACTGCTGTGTCAACCGACTTTCTGCTCTGTGTTGCATTATATTTCTAAGTTCACTAGGTTTGTTTCTCTTTCATTTGTACCTGATGATGATCGCCTGCTTTGCAATCGAAACGTCGTATGATATTATGTAATTTATTACTTTCTATTTCTACGTGACTTTACCGAGAGAACCAAAGGACAAGACTAATCTATATGAATCATGTCATGTATTGTCGAATGCCATTCTTGGAGTCCTCTTGGTAGAAATATTGTGCAGGATCTGTCAGCTAATAACCTGGATTGCACCCAATCTTGTCAGACCTTAGATACTAAGCAGGTTAAAGCCTGGATAGTGAAAGCCTGTGGGGCTCTGTGGTGGTCAGCAGAAGGTAGCGCAGCAACACTCGTTGTTATACTGCACTTCTATGTTCCTGCGTCGGTTACCTTTCTTCATATCCCACACGAAACCAGCACGGTAAATTATGGCCAAATAACAGTGGAATGTACATTTGTCAACGTGTACTGCATATGTACATTCATCAACTGGTACAGGGTACGATTTTATCGGTGTGTAGAAGAAACTGAAAGAGCGCTAGCATAGCAAAATCTGCTGCAGACAAAACTACCAACTGGAGCAGGAAAGCATGCGGATGGACGGTCCTTCCGTGAAAAGAAGAAAAAAAAAAACGTAATGGAAAGATGATTCACTGATCATTTTGTGCTTGCCGGAGTGATGCCATGAAAGGAGGAAATGTCCATCTGCATCACAAAGATCGAGCAGTGCATCACGATGTGTCAGAGAGCGGCCCACGGAAGGCGATGGTCACACAAAAATTCCGGTGTCAATCCAACAGGCCTCTCACATACGTGTTCACGGGGCTCGTCCATCATTCTATACCCTGCAATGAGTGTCCCCCGTGATCATCGCACCAAAAATTGTTTCATCATCATCATAGCCGGAAGGTTTCAAGCTCGGTGAAAAGTGAATTTAATACAAACGTTCATTTCTATAGTCACTGGCGACTGGACCGAAACCTTCCGACTGGCTGCACTTGAGAACCTGGTTTATACATGGTGTCTGATATCCACATCTGAACAGAGGATCTCAGCACCTGCGGCTCAGTGCTCTGACACAGGCATTATCCCTTCAAGCCATCCAGTCACCTCCGATTAACATATGTTCATCCTCGGTGGTATCCTGGAGAGATGTTGCTCTTGACATAGTCTCGGGCATTAAGAACAAGGATTTGCATTGATGTGGAGCTTAAATGCCAAAGCATCTTAAGTACCTTACAACACAATCCGTGAAAAAAATGGAGTACGGAGGGCAGAAAAGGAATGAGAATAATGGGCAGTGAATGTAAAACAGCAGTGGAATAGAAATAATGACGAGCACACGGACACGCAGATCTTATGTGCCTGCGTGCGTATGTGCATGTCTCACGTTTATGTAAAGAGGGTTCTTAAATTCAATCAGCGGTCTCCATGAATGTTAAGAATCGAAAGTGCCTCAGTCTGGAACTATGGGAATTGGACATTAACACCAAACCCCACACTATTGGATCAATTGAGATGTGTGTGTGTGTATACATGTGCAGTGACGGGGAGCGGTAATGTAGCAACACGACTTCCATTCCCACTCACAGCCTACATCAGTGACGATTATTTGAACCGGTCCTGGGCCTCCCCAAGGTCGACCCGGCCTCAAATGAGTACCTGGTTCGGTGTGTAAACATTGCCACTAGGGAGACAAAGGTGGTCAGGTGAGGTGCTGGCCACACACCCCCTCAGACAGTGCCGGCCTTCATAGGTGCTCACAAACAGCACTTGCCCCAACAGTCTATTAAGGCTATATGGGGGATATTGGTCTTTGGTGATTGTTAAAGTCACATACTCCGATTCTGACACTCACTTATTAGAACCTGGTTTAATAACTGATGGTTGAAAACTCGATTGGAACCCAGAATCTCAGAGGTGTCGACTGAAGTGTTCAGACAGCCCTCAAATCGCCCTTCTGAGTCACCAGGGCCTCTTTGTAAACCAACCGTTGATAAAGAATATCTCAAAACGCATGTTCAATAGCGAAGCAGCAACAGGTCTGGGACTCTTTTAATTTAAGGGCCTGGCCTTGTGACTCTCCAAGGTGCCGACGCGAGAGGTAGCCGCCAATGAGATATATTGATCAGGGCTCTGTCAACAGGCACGCGGTGAAGGAAAATTGGTCTCGGGCTCGTTTCATTAGATTGCCCTGCCCATACGCAACCGTGTCAAGCAAGCCGTGATGAAGCCAAACGCAGCACCACTTGCCGTTTACTTTGCAACACATCGCAAGTCTCCTTTTGCCAGAAACAAGGCACCTCAATGGGTTCTTGTCCATTCATCACGATTTCCAATCGTTAATATTTCTCACGACTTACCTCATTTTATATTTAAACAAAGCCTCAGCTCAGGAACGGTTTACGTAGTTTAAAAAGCGGTGACAAGTGATTTAGATGGCTGGGGCGGGCAAGGACCGCGGGTTCACGAAAGGGCAGGGGAGGGGCGGGAAGGGAATGGGCTTGGTTGTTTTATTATTATTATCCAATTTAACAGTATTCATGTTTGAACACTTGCACAGTTTAATAAAAAAAAATCAACAATAGACAAATAACCAATAGGTTATTATGGACTAATAATTTCCAGCGGCATGTTTATGACGGAACACTCTGGACTCGTATAGACTTAATCAGAAGAGTGTGGCAATCGCCTTGCAATACAGGCAAGAGCCCTTTCCAAAGAGGGACACGTTCAGAACAGCATGGGTAATACTTTATACTATTTATACAATGCAACGTGGATTTACAACCCCTCTAAATGCGACCGCATCTAAAAAGAAGGTACCGAAACACTGGGCAATTCAAATAAAGTCGTCAACAAAACTACGCGATTAATAAACTGTGTTACTTTAAAGGCACTAAGCACAGGCTTACCAAAAAGTGTACGGGTTACAGCCGGCCAATTCACAGGGTGCCAGACCCTTCCGATTCTTAACGTTCGTGGATCATCTCGCAAGGCGACCCGCGCCCCAAACGCACCGTTCTCCTTGCGCAGGCGGGAAATGAATTTCTTTGGCGGGATGACGCCCACTTTCTTCTTCTGCGTCGCGATGCTGTGAAAGAGGTCGGCGAGGCACGTCAGGAGGTTCTCCTTCTTCTTGGGCTGCACCTTGTAGTCGAGCACCTTCTCCCGGAACGGCTTGCAGAAGTATAACGCCTGCAGGACCGAGTTGCAGTAGCACGTGTTGCCGAACTGCGGAGAGACGACGGGGAGTGAGACGAGCGGAATAAGAGCGAGCGCAATTAGCCCAGAGAGCTACCAAGCCGGGTGGCCACCTACGGCAAAGTCACCCAAGAATGCACCCCGTCTCGTCAGGATCTCAGAAGCCAAAGAAGGAAACGAGCCACGGAGAGTGCTTGGACGCGCGAGCGACGCGCTCAAACTGAAGGCTTTGCGAAAGCCGAGCCGGGGTTGAGACAGGATAATGGATCGTGTTCTTTGGTTCTTTCGGTAAAGTCACGCAGAATGATAATATTGTGTTATATATTGTTTTGTTCTCATTCTGCGTGGCTTTACCGAAAGAACCAAAGAAGATGAATCCTTGCAGTCACGAAAGCTTTAAATCTAAATTTAATGGATTGTGGTTACATATGGGTCCAAATTAGTATTATTTTGGTGCTATAAATACCCAAATGATGGGCCGCTCTGTTGAGCTATCATTTGTAGCCAGGTCGCTTCTGAAAAAGAAGTTAATACCTCAGTTGGCTTTGCCTGACAGGATGGGGATGGTTTAGTTTTATTTGTATGTGTTTGGGTGATTTGTTTACCTTTTAGTACTTTGCACTACTATCGTGTTTGTGTATTGTGTGTTGTTGCAACGTTCTCACCCGCCCCCACTGGACATCTGTGAAAAAGACCTTTATAGCGCATCGGATTCCTCCGGTATGAATAAATATTTTGATTCTGAAATAACCCCAATGACCCTTACGGTGTGGGGGAGGCCCTCGTTCAGCAGTGGAAAGACTGAGAGCTGTGCGTGTACCATCAGCCAGGTGGCCTAGCTGGCGACCACACTCTTTAATCATAGCCGTGGATCACGCAGACATCATTGTATGCGAGGAACCCATCAGCGCACCTCCGATTAGCACGGTTGGCTACGTAAAGTGCGAAAGAAGTTCAACATAACACAGCATACATAAAGCGCGGGCGTACGGCAAGTTTGTCGACCTATCCAGTGCAGACATTGTTTGTTTAATATTTCCAAATACACTCAAAAACTCCGGACACTGCGGGGTTTTCCCACCGCGGACTTGACCATTCACGCCAAATTCATTAAGTTACAGTTCGTGGATGACGCCCCTGTGGCTCGACCATTTGCGGTTAACCACGAGATGGCTGTCTGCAGCGTAAAGAAGTAGTGTACTCTTACTGCACTGCTTGCGATGATGATGCTGCTGCGGAAGAATACACACCACCATCATCATCATCATTCATCGTAAATAAAAGTATGTGTTGTTTTTTTCTTTTTTAAACTGCATAATATCAACTGTACGTATATGTCCTTAACCACAGTACAGCACTGCACACGATATATTTTTTTCATTCTATAAATGTACTGTTCAAGTTTATATATGTAATAGTACAGAAAATATTAATAAAACTTTACATTAAAAAAAATATACATCCTGTTTGATGCTTGAGTTAATGTAGGGTATTATGAACAGTGAACCAAACGATACTTTTCCATATGCCTTGAGTTTGCGGATCGCAGATTTGCCAATTGCAGCTATTCTCAAGAGCGTAACACCCATCGACGGTCCATGTTTTGGTGTACACATTACAATGTTCATACCGGCGCAGTGCCACGAGATGAACTTCAATTTCAGGAGTCCCGCAGCAAGCGTTGCGGCCGTTAAATCGAGTCAACGCGCGGCCTCCGGAAAGATCCATTAACGGGAGAGTCTGTTCTCCTATAAGGCGCGTTGTTATAACGTGAATTTGCATTTAACGCAATTCATGCATTAGGGAACGCATTTTCTTAGTTATAACGTGGATGCGAATTGAATATAACGCAATCTGAGTGAACGCAACCACGGTCGCGGCGCGATTAGGAGCGAGCGGTCGTACGGCTGCCTCGGCATAGAATCACACAAGGCGGGATGCTGCTCGATGCTTCTAGAAATCTAGATGCTACCCACGTGCCTCAATCTTCGGTTCAGGGTGCATATGCAACTCACGCGTTGTCACGGACTATACTTCGCTCTATTTTTTTTTGTATCATTTATATGACAACCGCAAATTTCACATGATGCGGCGTTCTTTGGGAACATAATTAACACGTTTTGATTTAACGCTTTCGTGACTGCAGTAATTCACATTGTTAGCTCTTTCGGTAAAGTCACGTTAAAGGGAAGCAATAAAATAATATATATAAAACAATAATATATATTTTATTATTTTATTGTTTCCCTTTAACGTGACTTTACCGAAAGAGCTAAGGATATAATTAACACGTTATGGGATAACAGACTGTAGCGTGCAGAACTACTGGACCTGTGAAGTCACATCGCTAGAACTCTCGACCCAAATGAGAAAAACACATTTTAAGTACCCTTAAAAGAGTGTTTTTAAACACGTACATTACACCAAAATGTTTCATGCCCCAGCAGTGATCTGGTGGGGTTTTTTTTGTTGTGAAGCCGGGCTAAGAATATCAACTGGCTCTCTTCGGGAACCCAGTTTAAAAAGAGGAGGCAGACACCCAGAGTCCATGGCTGTGACACGGGATTAATTAGCCCCCTTAGCCAACTGGCCACCTCAACATTACTCTGCTCAAACCCACATAAGCACTCCCAGGCAGTAAACTGTATTTATAATCCTGTAAAAAAAAAACCCTTCAAATTCATTAAATGAGCTTACATTCATATGTATTATTATTATAATACCAAAAGTGATTTTTGCAGTCACTGCTAACTGAACCCGAGACCATAATAAACTCGCTGCACTAGAGAATCCGGATTAATAGGTGGCTTGAGACCCAGATTTGAACCCAAGCTCTCAGCAGCACCGTGCTCGGTGTCTATGACTTGGCATCAGTCCCCTCAGAGCCACGCGGCCACCTCCATCCGTGCCGGCTTTTTGAGTTTTATCCCAACCGACTCACCCTCGGGGGCTGTGAACCGCACGAAGCGCGACAACACGGCCAGGCCCCCGGGGTTTTGGTAAGACGGTAATTTACGGCGAGGTGGCGCACGGCTGTAATCAGAATCTCCGAGGCAGGGGGGGGGGGCTTAGGGGACAGTCCAGAGATTTCTGTGCGTGCGAGATGTCCAAGATGTCCAACCACCGCAGCTGCACAGTGTCTAGTCGATGAAAATACAGGAAATAGGGTCGCTGACCTCATTTAGATTGTGCGTATGGGGCCGTTCATTGGCAGGCTGCATCGCACGTGTTGGTGCACAGAAATAGGGCCATTCAAACGACCGACAACCCTGGGGGCTGAGTGACGGCGGGGTGGCTAATGAGGCCAAGGCTGGGATGGGGGGGACCCACAGTGCATTCGGTTGAAATGCGTTTCCCGTGCACTAGCAAGACCGGTTAAAAACCGGCAGCAATCGTGAGGTAGCGAGGGTTATATGTGGGCACCAGTGAAAGACATGGGGGGGGGGGGTGGTGGGGGGGGGGACATGAACCATCCGCACAAAGGTCACCCCATTCTCAGCATTATATCGGGCCAAGTCGGCTTAGCTTCAAAAGATATGACGAGACCAGCTTCCAAAGCGATGAGCTTCTTGTTCGTGTCTCTGGGTACGAAGTTCACAAGTTTGAACGCGCACAGAACCCCTCCCTGATAATGTGTTGACGGCGATTAACAGCGAGGGCTATGATACTTTGTGCAGTCCGCTAACAGTATGCCGATTGAGCTATTAGTGCGATTTCATGAGATGCGGACATTCTCAATTAAAACTCTTGGAACCAGCGGTGTACCAACCAACAGCCTCAGAAACAATTCATGCAGAAATACGTTGTAAGTTATGCCTCTTTATCAACACCAAAGGGCACATGCATAGCTTTAACATGCCAAGTGTTTTACGATAGTTGTGCAAATCATTATTGATCTGGCTGAGCCCATCAACTAACTACACTTGAGTCCAGCTTAATCGCGAGTGGTTTTCTAGATTAAAACCGAGCGCAAGTCTTCGTGTATTCGTCCCAAAAAAAGTCACTGCGTTGTTTACCATGCTGCAAAATAATTAATGTGGAAATCAGAGTGAAAGTTATACAAACATGATATGAAAGTCACTCGGAACTAATATTTAGTTTATTAATGAGTTAGTCGACATGCATATATGGTAAGTCTAAATAAACTATGAAAAATGAGTGGAAAATGATGTATGTCTCACAAAACTAAGACCTTAATAAAATATTTTAAAAATATATTTAAACCATTCATACCGAAGAGATAAAGTCTCACGGAGGCTATTCTCATCTAGAGTACAAGATATCTTGAAGATATAGGATTGGAAACATAAAGTCAAACATAGATGGATAAAGTCCGAACCCATTTATGATTTACTGGTCTATTTGTCGTTCGAACAAACACTGGAAACTGGTGATGGAACGGCAATAAAAGGAGAGAACACGCCCAAGAGGACATCCGCCAAAGAGGAGGTGCAATTAGATTAGCTCATGTACTGCAGGAGCAATATTTATTGAAGCGTCTCAAGGCCATGGAAGACAACAACAATGTACACTTTCATCCAGCAGTGGAATGATCAGTCACTGCTGACGGATGGGAGGGTAATGTGTGCACTGTTAGAGCATAAGCGGAATGACCGTGAGGAATTAGTCCATTTATAAGGTTAACACGTAGGCTTTCGCGACCAATATCATCAGCAATTACAACCAGCATCATCAGACGGACAGCCAGATTTGTACTCGGATTGTAAATGTTGTGGATTTGTAACGAATTGGCATGTTCTGTTTACGTGACAAACCTTACTAATTTGGCTATGTCGGGTGGTGGCGGCTTTAACGACACAATTATTATTTACGAGATCGAACCCAAAAAAAAACCCCCGTATTATGGGCAACATAGTTGACAATGAGAAAGGCGTCTATAAATGCACGAGCAATCGGCTCGAGAGTGCATGTGTACATTTACATTTGACGCACCAACCATTCTCAAAAAAACGTCCTCATTGCTCCGAGTATAATTCCAATTCCAGTAGGCACGATTGTCTTTTTGGCAA